CCAGCGGCCTCGCACAGGCTGGCCTCTCTCAAACTCTGCCCGTGGGCTTCACGAAAACCTGGTACGGGGCAGAGCATTCCCGAGTCATTAGCACTCTGACTCGGCGATGGGCCACGACAATCTCTGGCTGAAGGGCGGTCAAAGGCTGCTCTGTGGCTGTGTGGACCGCGCACCTACGCTTCTTGTGGGCAGGCTCCCTGCTACACGGGGCAGCGGTGAACATGGAAAGGGATGGGCAGGAAACCAGCTCCGCCACAGGCCGTCCGCAGACACGGCCTGCCAACTTCAGGTTGCCATCCATGACAATGCGGGCGAGGTCGTCGCCTGCCTGCCTTGCCATTCGGACACGCTGCTGCAACATGTGCTGCGGGTACCACTTCCACACCCCAGCCAAGGTAGTTGGCAGCTTGGCTGCCAAGTCCACGGTAGGTCTTGGGCAAGTTATGCTTGTGTCTGACCATCTCTGATCAATCCTGACAAGCTTAGCCACGGAAAAAGCAAATCTTCAAAAAAATAGCAAAGGGAAGGGCTACATCGACACCACAAAAAAAGCTGGGCCGCCGGGCAAGCCGCCACAGTATCCATGCCTGGCTGAGTTTCAGGTGGCTCTTGGAAGGCACGAGGTGCGTCTTCTCCTGCAAGGCTGCCTCTGCCGCATGCACTTCCGCCTCGCCCGTGAATGATGCATAGTGCCAAACGATGCGCCGCGACATTTGTCGCAGCCAGGCGCTCGTGACTCCCCAGCGCCCTGCCACGAAAAAATATTGCATCTCTTGCCCGGCTGGCCAAAACCAGAGGCGCGATTGGGGCCGGCCGCTGGCCCAGCAGTTGTGCCACAGGCGCCGCCGCTTGCTCGGGCAGCTTCCTCGCTTGCAGCGGCGCGGCGTGTGCCACAGCTGGCGCCAGCCACCCACATCTAGCACGCTGGCCAGCTCCGCCGGCAGCTCGCTGCCACACTCGCAGATCGTCAGCGGACAGGTTGCCCGAGGAATGTCAGACAGCGACATGAAGCAGAAAAGCTACGGCTTGAGGCAAACTGCTGGAAATGCACTTAACATATTCGCTTCCCTTACCATGGGTGCAACACATGGGCTTGTCAACTTTTGCTATTTTTCCTCGGATCACAGTTGTGAGCATGCCTGACGCTTGCAGTAAATGGATGTAGATGGACCTTCCCTGGCGCAATGAGTGTCTAACACACATTGCCTGCAAAAGAACCCCGAATTCGGACCGCATTGGTCATATCTAGCAAAAAGAGAAAAAGCATGCCTCAGCATCATCTGCGCTTGTGCGGATCGGCTGGAAAACCGCAACTCCTAAGTACGAAAGTAGTACGCGAAGTAAACTTTCTCTGCTCCGCCGGCTGGAATATCGCAACTTTTGAGTACCGAAGTAGCACGCGAAGTAAACTTTCGCAGCTCCGGCTGGAAAATCGCAACTTTTAAGTACGAAAGTGTTTCGCGAATAGAGGAAACTTGTTCAGAGCAACTTGCTGAGAGAACTTGCTTGGAGAATGTAGTTCATTTGCCGGTTGTTTGTTGGAGGATACCCTCCAACAAGGGTTGGCAGGGGCCAATACTCCATTTGAGCAGCGCCCGTACCCCATTGACGCCCACAAAAAGTCGAGTACGCAAGTTTTCCTATCCTCACCAGCGCCCCAAATCTGTGGCATTTGTGTTTGGAATTGGCACCCCCTTTTCCGGGAAACCCTTTTGACGGAAGGGACTGGGCTCATCTGCGCACCTGAAAATCAGTTCATCTGCGCGTGTGAGGGTCAACCGCGCACCGAGAGTTCCGTTCATCTGCACCTGATCGCCCCGTTTCTACAGCGCCGTGCGCTTTCTTTTTCTACCCATGGATCGCATCGCTTTGGGACTCACGCTTTTGTGTCTGGCTCGCGTTACTGCAGGTCTTGGGGTTCTGGCACCTTCCGTTCCGCGCACCTGACTGCCCTGTTTCCCCGCCGCGCGCTTGAGGCCTTTGGGCCTGGCTCGCGGCCAAGAAGCTCACATGACTTTGGGTTTCAGGGCTTAGGGTTTGGGGTTGAGGCTTCTGGGTTTGGCTCGCATCACTTTAGGGGTTTGGCTCGCATCACTTTAGGATTTTGGCTTTTGGGCTTGGCTCGCATCACTGTAGGTTCTAGGGTTTGGGGTTTAGGCTTTTGGGTTTGGCTTACATGACTTTAGGTTTTAGGTTTTGGGTTTGGGGTTTAGGCTTTTGGGTTTGGCTTACATGACTTTATGTTTTAGGTTTTGGGTTTGGGGTTTAGGCTTTTGGGTTTGGCTTACATGACTTTAGGTTTTAGGTTTTGGGTTTGGGGTTTAGGCTTTTGGGTTTCGCTCACATCACGTTAGGTTTTAGGTTTTAGATGTTTGGGTTTCGGGCTTAGGCTTTAGGGCTTAGGCTTTAGGGTTTAGGGTTTAGGGTTTAGGGCTTAGGGTTCTGGAAGAGGCTGCTGTTCCCTACTGTCAATCTCGCACCCCCAAAGCTACATGAGAAAGACTTGAGGCATCAAAGCCTCCAAGAAACATGCAACCTCTGAATGAGTTGAAACACATCAGGGAACCGATTTCCAGGTGCACATGCACAGACGAACCGATTTCCAGGTGCACAGACGACACGCATTCCTTGACGGAAACCCTTTTGCGCCATTTGTTCTTTTTGGGGGTCTTTTTGGGGGACTGTCAAAATGGAGGGTGTTCCCTTTCAAACCCGCAAAAAACAGGAGACCAACACCAAAAAAAGGACGGCATCCAAACATGAACCTGCCGTTTTCGAGCGACGCCACACAAAAAGGGGGACACCAATCCGAAAATCAGCCCCGCCACACCTCCTGGGGGGGAGATGTCCCACCCCAAAAACCCAGACGAGCCACGCGCGCCGCGCGCGCGCAGCGCGAAAAACCGAAACGAGGCCCGGGCTCTCGGCGTCGCGCTTGGGCTCCAGGGCTCCAGCCCTCAGCGCGGCCTCCTTGGCCCTAGGAGCCGTGTGGGGCCCGGCCCGAGTGACTCGGCCCCAGGTCGGTGGGATCAAAGGGAAGCCCCGGAGTCCGGGAATTGGCCTTCCCCTTTCTTGAGAACTGGGGTCTATCCTGAAGATGGATGAAAGATGGTGGATGGTTGGGTGCCCCTTTGTTGTCTGCTTGTTGGTTGTTGTTTGTTGAGGGGGGATTCCCCTTTTGTGGCGGTCTTCCTTTTGGCGTTCCATCTAAAACTCACAAAAAAGGGGTACCAACTCAAAAAATAGAAATCAACTCCGGGGAAAAACAGGGGCCTATCTCTACCCCCAAAGGCTTGCTTTGTCACTTCGGCGCCTTCCCCATGGCTTCAAGAGGAGCTGGGGGTCCTTTCCCCCTCAAAAAACGGGGAACCTGGTTGAAGACGGTTCGTTTTTCCGGTTGGTTTCCCTTGAAAGTGATCTTGAGAAACCCAGGGTCTAAGTAGCAACCTTCGAAAAGCTGCGCCGCGTGCCGCGGTTTCCCATAGCACGTATCTGGGTTTCGCTGCATGCTTCGGGGGAGCTTTAGGCCACGATCGGATTGACGCTAGGCACAAGCAAAGGATACGGACACGGCGAACGGCGCCCAGAAGGTGTCAAAAGCCTAGGCCAACCTTCTCTCATCCTGCAGTGCTGGTACCATGATCAGTCTGGTGGGTTCACGTCTCCTTCTTGTTCAACTTCCAGCCCTCATCTCCCAGGATGTGGGTTGATGCAAACAAGCGGCTGGTGCTTTCGTGTCTTGAGGGGTTCGACCAAAGGCCGACTTGTGGCAAGACTGCAAGACTGGCATCGACACGTTCTGAACTCTATGTGGCACAAAGTAACACAGTGTGGGGGTCGTCTTTACGCGCACGAAGCCCCGTGTTCCAACCTGTGTGCAGCCTTTCTGATGAAAACCCATTTCGCAAACCTTTGCGTGCCCATTCTGGTCTACTGCTTTGCCTGCAACGGAATCTTTGGCCTCAACTGCGAAGCCGCTGCCAGTGTCCATCTCGGATCAGCTCGGCACGACCATGTAGTGCAAACGGGCTCCCTCCAAAAAAGAATTCTCAGATTTTCCACCTGGGCAAATTCACACAAGGTCGCCGCAATGAATCCGGGGACCCCAAAAAAGCGCCAGCTGCTGGATGGAACTTCTCCCTGTACCGCCTATCCGGTCGCCACGTTTATTGCCTGTGGCTTTCTTCCTTGCCATCTGGCCGGGAGCCGGGCTTCTTTCGATTTCGGATCTCATCCTGGCGGGCAGATTTCGCCAACTTGGGATTTCTTGAGCCCTTCCGACCCTCAGAAAGTCACAAAAACACCACGTCTTTGGTAAGGCAAATAGATGGCAACCGTGGCCCTCAATCGGCCACTTCGGTGCCATTGATCCTTTCGGCGCCGAAGTGTTGCCGCGAACCTTCCGCCATTGAAAGGCCAATCTTTTGACACACGGCCATGGAAGCAATCCGAAAGCATGAGCCAAAACCAAATGGTCCCTTGCCCACAGGAGCCCTGAAAAACCGGTCGGGTCCCGTGTTCCAGAGGTTCCTCCTTTGAATATCACCCCACCAAAAGCGAATGGATCATCCAAAAAAGGGGGAACATTTGGTGTTCAAGATTGTGGCAGCTGCAGCCGTGCCAATGACGCTGTCCTTATGTGAAATGGAGTCTATCTGGAACTTCCTTCAAATTCGAGATAGTGACCGCAATCATGTTAGGGGCAGCAAACCGACCATACGTTCTCGTTAACCTATTTACTTGTGTAGAGGCCATGAGAATTGGCTTCCCCTTAGCTATGGATTTCTCGATTCGGAGCGCGGTTGGATGACGATAAGCCGGGGAGAGCGTTCCGGTAGGCACTATACACACCCCTCCCCGCCCAACACCCCCTGCCCCCGGCAGCAAGAATCCACCGGATCCAAACGACCCTCTCCCACCCAAAACCAGGTCATGGCCCACTGGTTTCACCAAGTCTCAACACCAATTCTTCCGTTACAACCAATCTCCTTTCCACCTCTTCATCTTTCAACCCACAGGCTCCCGACCAACGCCCAACCCCCCCCCAGACCCCGCCGACCCCGACCCAACCCCCGCCGAAGCCGCGCCTCAGGGCAGAGGTGGCAGTGCGCGCAGGCATCCCCGTTGCTGCAGCCCGAGGCCTTGTGGAACCAGGCGCAGGGCCTGGCTGGAACGAACCAACGCGGCGGACATTCGGCAGCGCAAGCCCAGGGGGAACCAGGCGGTGCGGTAGGTTCGGAAGGTATGTGGTGGAATGAACCCAACTTTGGCTCCCGGTAGGGGATGAATGTGGAATGAACTTTGGTCCCCTGGGAAACCAGTTGGGGTTATTACAGCTTTGGTTGAGTCTCCTTCCATGGACCAAAGCCATCCCCTCGTTTGGGGCCATGCCGCGCCATTGTCAATGCACACTGGGCAAGAGACATCGAAGAACCATGGTCCACGCTAGCTGGTGATGCTCGTTACATCCTCCCTATCCTAGGTCCCCCAGTAGAGAGGTTAGAATAAGGGTACCCTTCTTTCTGTAGCCTATTTTGGTAGGGGAACCCTCCCCCCCAAAAAGGGTACAAGGGCACTATTCAAGGACCTATATAGTATCCATTCAAGCAAGCAGTCACCAAACAGCTGTACGAGAAATCAGCTCAACTGTGCCTGATGTTGTGGCTGATGCTGTGCCCATGCTGATGAGCAAGAGCATGACGTCCAGAATCAAAGACATCCCGCCCCCGCCTGCATTTCCCGCTGCCGTGCAGTGTGGAGCCTCCGCTTTCACACGCACTTCCACACTTCGCACGGATGGGCCGCATTTTGTTCGGAACACGCGGAGAAAACAGGGACCAGTGTCCGCGCTGCGGCAGTTCTTCAAGTGAGGCAAGCAAGCAAGAAAGCAAGCAAGCAAACCAACCAACCAACCAAACAAACCACACCACACCACACCACACCACACCACACCAAACAAACAAACAAACAATCAAACAAGCAAGTCCAAAAAAAAGTGAAAATGACAAAACAGAAAGGAAACAAAGAAACAAAGGAACGCAGAAGCAAGCAAGCAAGCAAGCAAGCAAGCAAGCAAACAAGCACAGACACGCACACACACACACACAGGCAAACACACACACACATACAAACACACCACAAATCCATAACACACAAAAATGTCACAAGACCCTCAGGACGAGGACACCTCACGACAGGAGCGAAGGGACCTCGTTCGTTTTGAGATTTTTGTGGGGCTCTTGGCACGGATGGATCCTGCCTGCCGAAGGCACCGGCAGGCAGTTCGCCAGCTCGATGGCAAACTTGGGGGACCTGAGCTTGGGTGCTGGTTTTGAGGGGAAATATGAGGAAATACTGTGGATGGACGAAATCCTCTTAGGCATCACCTGAGAAACCATAGAATGATGATTCCCCTATAAATACCAACAAACAGTGGTTTCCCATGGTTGTAAAGTGGTGCAGGATTTCGCCCATCCACAGTAACTTTTTGCTGGTGAAAAGGAAATATGAGGGGAATCGAAAAAGTTGTCCAGTCTAAAGATCCAACCCGATAGCAGTAGAGTGAGACGTAGCTTCGATTCCGCCTTCCATGCTTCGCCTGTGGGATGGAAATGATTCCTCCGACGTGCGAGAGATCTCCACTGCCCTTTTCGCATGTGGCATCGGCGCTTTTTCTCGGGGGTTCCCTGCTTGTCACAGGCGACAAAACTGACGCCAGAGCTGAGGACACCAGAGAGGCACGATGCCCTTTTGGGGTTGACCAAAGCAAAGAGCTTGCTTTGCCGCGTGCCCGGACCGAGAAAATCGGGCGACGATGTTTCAAAACCAGAACCTGTCGGCGACTTCTGCATCCCCTCCAATTCAAGCAGAACAATACTCAAGCCAATATTCTTAGAGTCCACTGTCCACCACAATGTCGGCTTCGGGTTCACCGTAGGCTACAACTGACTAGTGGCCAACAAAATCATCCTGCGAGCTTACAAGCAAGCCCAGGGGCGTCCTTTTTGTTTGTTTTGCAGGAAAAAAGGATGGTGATTCCTGGTTTACCTGGTGGTTTAATCATCTATCAGGGCCATCTGTTTCCCCTAGAAGGACACCTATGAGCAAGCCCGTGTCGCCTACACAAAATTACACGACTGAACCCTCCCTACCACTTGCTGGCTGAGGACGAAAAGGCCAAAATGCAAAACGAAAACTGCGCGTCGGCTGTCCCCGCCACCGCCCAAACTCCTTGTGCGGGTTACAGTTTATGGCCGTTTGACCATGGCACATGGGCAAAGAATCTGACCATCCTGAGCCAGAACCATTCTTTTCTCTCTCCCCCCCCTTGCCCGTCCAGGGTGGTGCCCTTCGGGGCAGGGAATCGCCACTATCTTATGTTCTCTCCAGCTTGGGTGATGAACACTGTCTTCTCGGACCTCAACTAGCAAGAACCCAACGGGCCCAACAGACCCATCTACGCCAGCAAAACCCAAACCCGGCGCCAGGGTACTCTAAATGTTGGAACCAAACCACCCCATCCATTGAAAGCCTGCTGCAACAAATCGTCTGCTTTGAAGATCAAGCTTGCCAGTAGTATTCACGCCGCTCAAAAATTGGCCCAAGTAATGTGCCTCATTCGACAAATTATGATGTAATTAAGCCCATCTTCCCTCCCTGCTTCCCCAGTGGCCATTGGTCGAATTGAAGCGGGAAGCCCATCGCAAGACAGTTTTGTTTGCGTGTTTGGCTGGTCCATTTTTGAGAAGAAGACCGCAAAGCCCGGAAGACCCCCCAAGGGTAGGATCCAACGCCAAGTATCCCGTGCTTGGATCATCTCTCGGAGCCATGTTCAGGTCTCGTCCTCCATGTGGCTTTTTGTCTCCTGGAAAAAATGAGAAACCATGTCCAGGGGTGAAATCGGTTCCTTCTAAAGCCATCAGGGGTAACGTCTCTCGTCTCTGGTGCCAAGAGGCTCCGGGGAGGGCGAGGAGGGCGACGCGCCGAAGGCGTCCCAGCCAAGAGGGGAGCTGAGGTCCAGCCTCGGGAGGCGGAAAAGCCGAGCATGCCGTGAGTGTGGGGGGGTGGGGGTGGGGGGGGCGAAGAAGCGGGTGAAGCGGGGTGGTTGGGGAGGGGGGTGGTTGGGGAGGGCGGTGGTCGGGGAGGGGGGTGGTTGGGGAGGGGGGGTTGGGGAGGGGGGTGGTTGGGGAGGGGGGGTTGGGGAGGGGGTGGTTGGGGAGGGGGTGGTTGGGGGGCGGGTTGGGGAGGGGTGGTTGGGGAGGGGGTGGTTGGGGAGGGTGGTTGGGGGGGGGTGGTTGGGGAGGGGGTGGTTGGGGCGGTGGTCGGGGAGGGGGTGGGGGGAGGTGGTTGGGGGGGTTGGGGGGGGGGAAGAAGCGGGCGAAGGGGGGGGTTGGGGAGGGGGGGGTTGGGGAGGGGTGGTTGGGGAGGGGTGGTTGGGAGTGGTTGGGGAGGGGGGTGGTTGGGGAGGGGGGTGGGTGGTTGGGGAGGGGGGTGGTTGGGGAGGGGGGTGGTTGGGGAGGGGGGTGGTTGGGGAGGGCGGTGGTTGGGGAGGGCGGTGGTCGGGGAGGGGGGTGGGGGGAGGTGGTTGGGGGGGTTGGGGGGGGAAGAAGCGGGTGAAGGGGGGTGGTTGGGGGGTGGGGCTTGGGGGGGAGCTGGGGGTGGGGGTGGGGGACCTGCTTTTAGGTTTAAGGGGAAAGCCCGGACCATTTTGCAGGTGGCAGGTCGATTTTTTAATCAAATGATGGGAAGCTGCACAGGCGTTTACAAGTGCTGGGTTCGTTGGCACACTCACGGAGTGAAGCCTTCCTTGCGGAGGGAGGTTGACCTTCCTACTGCCTCGGAACAAGCCAAGCAAGCGACAAACCAACCAACCAACCAACCAACCAACCAACCAACCAACCAACCAACCAACCAACCAACCAACCAACCAACCAACCAACCAACCAACCAACCAACCAACCAACCAACCAACCAACCAACCAACCAACCAACCAACCAAACCAACCAACCAACCAACCAACCAACCAACGAACCCCAACCAACCAACCAACCAACGAACCAACCAACCAACGAACCCCAACCAACGAACCCCAACCAACCAACCAACCAACCAACCAACCAACCAACCAACCAACCAACCAACCAACCAACCAACCAACCAACCCAACCAACCAACCAACCAACCAACCAACCAACCAACCAACCAACGAACCAACCAACCAACCAACCAACCAACCAACCAACCAACCAACCAACCAACCAACCAACCAACCAACCAACCAACCAACCAACCAACCAACCAACCAACCAACCAACCAACCAACCAACCAACCAACCAACCAACCAACCAACCAACCCCAACCAACCAACCAGCCAGCCAGCCAGCCAACCAACCAACCAAGCAAGCCAAGCAAGCAAGCAAGCAAGCAAGCAAGCAAGCAAGCAAGCAAGCAAGCAAGCAAGCAAGCAAGCAAGCAAGCAAGCAAGCAAGCAAGCAAGCAAGCAAGCAACCAACAAAGCAAGCAACCAACAAAGCAAGCAAGCGACTAATCAAGCAAGCAACAAAGCAAGCAAGCGACCAATCAAGCAAGCAAGCAAGCAAGCAAGCAAGCAAGCAAGCAAGCAAGCAAGCGAGCGACCAATTCAGCAAGCTAGCAACAAAATCGCGCAGAAGCGATAATATTTGCCAAGCTGCGGCGTCATGACCGATGGGTCTGTCAGGTCACTGGGATACATGGAACCAGGCGTCTGCCTCGGGGCAAGCAAAACACATACTGCAGAGGACTGGTCCGAACATGCTCAACAGCTGTCCATTGGTGGTTTCATTTGGCGGTTGCCCAACCTAGGCCGCTCTGTTCATGTTTACAACCAATTAACAGGGCTTGCCAGCAACGGCTTAGCACAAAACCACGCCTTCCAACGGGCTGTGTCGTTCGGATTGAAGCATCCAAATGTTGGGAACGGGACTAAACGACTGAAACAAGGGCACACAAGCCACGGGCAAAATATGCGGCGGTGTTCGGAAAGGATATGGGGAACAATAGGGAGCCCCATGTTGCTTTTGACATGTTCGTGAGTCGCCCCATGTCCCTGCCGAATGAATGATCGAATGCGCGTGTCGGTGCTCGCTTGCAGGGATCAATCAACCAACAAAAACATAAGTCTCTCCCTTCCATCCCCGTCCCTTCTTTTAAAGGATGATCCAACCCCCCAATTCAAACAATACAAGGGAACCGACGGAAAATTGTGTGGTTAGCAGTTTACCCAACTGTAAAAAAGAAAGAAAGCTCTCGTCGCATGTGATATGGTCAGCAGAACCACACAAGGAAAATTGGAAAAAACAGGTCTTCTGGGGACTCCTGTCAGGTTCCACGCTTGTATTGAAAATACTCCACTTTGTATGACGGGCAAAACAATTAGCATCCCTTTCATTTGCTTTCTCGCCCCCTGGACAAAATGAGAAACTATGTCCAGGAGTGAAATCGATTCCTTCTAAAACCAACAGGGGAAATACAACAACATAATCAAGTCAGCAAAGGGTTTCGCGTTGTGTTGTGTCGGGAAAATAACAACAGATTCATTTCAGCCAATGGAAGCTTCTGGAAGTTGGGGGTGTCCGCCCCATGCACAAACCGCCCGCGAGCTGCGGCCGAGAGGCGTCAGGGAGCTCACTGAGAGAGGCGTCCAATTCGTTGCCCCTGGCCGCCGGTGCCGCCGGTGGCGAGGCCTCCCTTTTGGGGCGGATGAACACCCATGTACCACCTATTTTGATGTTCAGCAGGGTACAGGGTTTTGACCACTTGGGTGTGGCTCAAAATCTAAGAGGTGGGGCAAACCGCAGGTTTTGGTGTTTGTTTCCATTTACCTACCAGTAGGGGCCGTTTTGGGTACATTTCTTTGAGCCACAGCCACTTGGGGGGAAAAATCCCCAATGCTCAGGGCGAAGGAAAGCAATCCGGAATAGTGAGCATGGGCCCCTGCTATGTTGTGCGTGCTGGCCAGCCTCAGGACAAACCCTGGCCACTTAACACGCCTCCGGTGCAGGCCAGCAAAAATGTCACGAGCTCAGCCCAAAATGATGCTATCAGCATAAATAAGCAATGCCCGTGACCCCCAATCTTTACTGGGGCCTTCCTCCATGAAACCCCGCAATGTCAGGCCACAACTTATGTCGGATTCAAATGCCTCGCGAGTCAAGCGCCGCCAGGACAGTCGACTGACCCGCGACTAAAAGTCCGTCACCTGCTCGAAAAAGACGTAAAAGGCCCCCCCCCGGCTCGCATGTGACTGGCAACCCGCCTCCCCACATCATTGGGCTGCCCCTCGGCAAGTGAGCTTCGCGCAGGGGAGGCAATGCACATTTACAGGACGACCAGCTCTCAGTACACGTCCATTGCTTCCCACATTTGCACGTGGAGCAGTGCCTATGAAGCACCTGCTTTAAGCGCTGCAAAACCTGCCTTCAAGTTCCCTGAGCCAGCGCTCCTTCTACATACTGTGGATGGTTGCGAAATCCCTTTCGCACCGCTTTGAACCCATGGTTGAAACCATTGTTTGTTGGTATTTACAGGGGAATCATCAGAAACCAGGGTTTCTTAAGTGGTGCAGGATTGCAAGGCAAATCGATGCTCACTATCTGAGAATGATCATGTTGTCTGAACTATGCCCGAATGCCGGGATCCCTCGACTCGCCCCCCCCCCAAACACACCGTTGCAGTGGCATCCTCTAGTCTTTCCAGAAGTCACCACTTTTTTGCTGGGGAGTTGCAAAGACGGGTGTGACTCAATGCTCGCTTTCTCTGCCAAGCAGCTCATTCTGCAGCAACATCTGCTTCACTTTGCGGCGATTCTTGATTTCCTCCTCGGGGTGAGGTTGAAATGCTGCCCAAGCGTCCAAACACAAAGTTGCACGACGTTCACCGATCCCAACAGGACAGTCTTCAGCAAATACAAACCTGCATGTCCATGAAAGAAGGGCATGAATGTTCTGCTGTTCGACCAAATGCCCAATATGAGATACCGCGTTTCGAGTCGAAACACCTCCCCCAAAACGTCCCTTTGGTTTACTCAACTCTTTGGAGTTGAGTTGCCCCTGGCTCGCATCGGAAGAAAGCGAAGCGAGACACGAACGTCTCGGAACAGCGGCTCTCCTGGGGGCACAGGTGGCAATGCCGGCAGTCCTTGCCGTTCTCGCAGCCCTGCGACAGGCGTTCGGCGCCGGCCAGGTGCGAAAAACACCCAGTCTGATACCAGCTAGCTTCCGGGTTCTCTTTGAAAAAAAGAGCCGCAGGAGGAGGCTTTTTGTTGGCGATCTCTCGAAATTCGGGCGATTGCCCTTTGAAACAATACGAAGTTCGGGGGGTCAGTTCTCACATTGCGCGCCCTTCAAATCGGAAAAGCGCCCTCACCAACGCCAGCAAATGCGCGGCCCATGCTCCAGAATGCTGGGTGTTCACCTTCCATTCCTCACCAACCCCATGCCCTGCCTTCGGCTTCCAGAACCAGGCGCAGGGCCTGGAAAGGGACGGACTAAGAGAGGCGCCCCCACCCCTCACCCCCTGAAAACACAGGGTTTGGGAGGCTTCAACGGTTTCCCCTAAGCGCGTACAGCCGGGGAGTTGAACAAAATCGTCCCGAAACTGCTGTCGATGAAGCGAGCAGTGGGTTCATCGCTTGCCATCGCGTAGGTCCCTATTGCAAGTGTGTGTGTGTGTGTGTGTCCCTTCGTAGACCAAGGAGCTGAAACAGTGTGTACTTCCCTGCTTGGCACTTCTTCTCAGCAAGGTGCGAGTCTATGGGAATGTGCCAAAACCAGAGGCGCAAGCATGGCCAGTTGCTTGATTCCCTTTGAAGAGCGTCCCCGCAAGACAGGTCGAGGAAGCGTTGCGATATGGGTGTGGCATTGTTTTGGGGGGACCCCCTTGTCCTTGTGGTTGCCCTTTAAAACCAGCAAAATGGCTGTGGGTCAAAGCCCTGGTGAACATCCCAATCCCCACTATCGACTCAAATGGGTGGTGAATTCACCTACCAACCAAAACGGGATCCCATGGGTTTTGACAACCACGGCCAAATGGGAAGCCTCGGAAGATGAGCCGTGGACCCAAGCCGTCCGACTTGCAGCTCGCAGACGTCGCCTGCACAGACCGCTGCCGTGCAGCTTCGAGCCCTCTGAGGGCACAATGCGGGCGGCATCCTCAACGGGCGGAGGCGCGAGGCGCGCGCCCGAGTTTTGGCTTGTTGCCTGACGACTTCTGAGCCTGATCTTGTTGTTGGGGACCCTTTTGGTGGACATCATTTTAGGTGGGGATTCATGTCCACCAACCACTTTTAAAGTGGTTCCCTATTAAAGGTCATAGGCTTATGGAGCGCTGCATGCGAAACAGAAGGACAAAGGGTTCAACTTAACTGGGGCATGGGACGGTTGCACACATCAAAAACTAAGCCAACCCCCGCTTTCGAATCGTACCTCTGCCGGTCCAAGCTGAGAACAATGCTGAAATGTGCAGGACCCACACCAGCCCCACACCACCAAAATTCACATGTTGGAGCCAAATGCTAAAATGTCATATCTGATGCATGTGCCTGAGTCAATCCTTCTCAACCGAAATGCCATCTTGAAATCGCCTTCATGGCCCCAGTCTTATTAGAGGGTAATTAGGCATGCCAAATTATAAATGCATAGTTACCTTTTACTAAGTTAGATGTATTTCATGAATTCTCATTCCGAATCTGTTGAACCGCAAAAATGAAACACACAAACATGCTTTTAAAAAATATGCGTTGCTCGCAAGCTGCGAGCTTGAAGGTTTCGTGTCCAGGAAAGGTCGCATTCCAACGAAACATCACGCGAGCAGTTCACGTCGCAAGCTCAACGTACGCTGCGCCCCCCGCCTCTGCTCCTGGCGCAGTGTCAGGAGTCCCCGGCCGCCGGCTTTGCTTTTTGTTTCTCTCACCCGGCGGGTGTACACAAACGGCTTGCTTAGAGCATAGGGATAGCTGGGGTATGTGCCCCTTACTCGTGTTACAGCCACCTTTTTTTGGGGGGGGGCATCTCCCGCCCCAGAAGCCCAAGGTTGGATCCCAGGTGTGAAGCCTCATGAGTCACGATCAAAACCCTTTGTACTAAAATGGCCGTAATCCCAGAACCATGCTTCAAGAAATAAGAAGGCGGAATTCCGCAACTATTTCTGGCTGGGGTCGTCCTAAGCTTCGTCTACCCCAGGTTTTGAGCACGTGGCTCTCATGCAAGTACAACAACCGGACAATCCCTCAGCCTCTGCCATGGCCACCAATCCACATGCCGAAAGGAACAGAAGGCACTGTCCGTGCAAAAAAAAACGGAAGGAACCGGTGTGATGCATGTCCGGCCCGTTAAACAACTCTTCTCAAAGTCCCCCAAAACAACCGTGCGTATCTCACTTTCACAAAGGAAGTGTCAAAATAGGTTTAGAAAACAGCCATCCTTGTGAAGCAAGCCCTTTCCCTCAAACTACTCTCTTCTCCATGGCGAGCTGATCGAGCAGGCCTCCCTCACTCAGCTTGAAGGGATCAGACTCCGACCTCAGAATCCACGTGCAACCAACTCCTCCCTCGAAATGCCCGGCTTGGGTCAGAAATGGGGGGGCAAAGGCAAAGAAAAGTTTTAGGCAACCAAAAAGGAACCAACTGTTTGGAAAGGTCTCGAATCTCGGCACGCTTCAATTCACCTCAGCTCTGGCCATAGAGCCTTCAGGAGGGTGTTTTCAACCAGAGGCTCGATGTTTTGACGCACCCCAGGAAACCAAATCTGAGAGTTCGGGTTTTTTTTTGCCAACTGCTTCCCTGCCCTCAGAACCGAGAAAGAAGGCGGTTCTATAAATGAGTACGCAAAACATGGCATTCTTGGAGTCCTCCCAAAACCTTCTAAGAAACAAAACCGCCTCTGCCGAAAATTTCCTACAGCCGAGGAAGTGCACAGGGCCCTTTTCCAAACCAACCTTCGCCTCACGAATCACGTGGAGGGTCATTCATAATCCAAGAGAAATCTGCTGATCTGCCTGGCGTCCAACCTCCTCCTCCTTCCCCCTGGCTCGGCTGTCATGGAGCCCGGGCATAGGGTCCTCCTCGTCCGCGTCCAGCATCTGCGCCAGGCTCAGGGCCAAAGGAGAGCTCATGAGATCCTCGCGCGAACAAAAGCTTCAGCTGAGTGGGAACAAACATATGGGTGTCTCTTTCCCACACTGGCAAGGCTCGAAACTTCTCAAAGGGGCCTGCAAGCGTTCTGATATCTGCTGGGATTTGGATCGAGGACTCATCACCAAACGCCCCGGGGGCAGAATGCAGCGGGCAGCACGCGGCCAAAGCCACTGAGGAAAAATGAGCTCTTTGGGGTTGCGGTGGGGGGAGCTGACGTGGTGCTCCGTATGTGAGGAACCTTGCAAAAAGTGCCTTCACATCCACCACGTATGGAACATAAAGACAGAATATTTGATAGACATGACTATTATCATTGTCAATACCACCATTATGGTGTTCAACATCACTGTTAGTATAATGACTCATCATCAACATCAACATCAACATCATCATCATCATCATCATCATCATCATCATCATCATCATCATCATCATCATCATCATCATCATCATCATCATCATCATCATCATCATCATCATCATCATCATCATCATCATCATCATATCACTCTCATCATTCTTGTTGTTGTTGTTGTTGCTGCTGCTGCTGGTAGTGGTAGTGGTGGTGGTGGTGGTGGTGGTGGTGGTGGTGGTGGTGGTGGTGGTGGTGGTGGTGGTGGTGGTGGTGGTGGTGGTGGTGGTGGTGGTGGTGGTGGTGGTGGTGGTGGTGGTGGTGGTGGTGGTGGTCGTGGTTGTCGCGGTGGTGGTGCTGCTGGTGCTGCTGGTGCTGCTGATGCTGGTGCTGGTGGAGGGTGCTGGTTCTGGTGCTGGAGGTTGTCGTGGTGGTGGTGGCGGCGACGGCGGTGGTGCTGGTGGTGGCGGTAGGGACGGCTGCGTTGGTGGGGCGACGGCGGCGACGGTGGCGGAAATATCATTGGTTAGATTCTTACTTACTCTTCACCCCTCAGCCCCAGCCAGAAGCTGCTGCCGCCCTGAAAGCATCACATCGCCGCCTGGTCCAGCGAATCTTGGCGCGACATCTCTGCCTTGACCTGGCCACGTGAGGGAAACCAACGGAACCCAACCTTTCTGGCGGGTTCAATTTGGAGACAAACCCAAATTCACTTGGAGACACCCGAAAACAGCAAGTGTCCACATCACATCCATTGGAAAAGCATTTTCTTTTCAGACCACGGTCAGGAAGACCCTGTGCCAAACTCCAACTCGCAGCTGCCATCGCCAGGTTGCACCCATCGCCAAAAAGCCGCTGTGATTTCGTCGAACAAAGCTAAGCTCCAAAGCTCCAACCCCAATTCGTGCTCGCACCTTCGCTTCCTTGTTACGCATGGCTGCGGATAGAAAGAAAAAAAAAAAGAAAAACAGCAATTACCCCTGGTGAACCGCAAAATGGGTTGGAAAACATGGGCGTTCCTCCGCCCCAAAATGGGATCGCCACGGCTTATGACCCATGGCCACCTGGGGGCCAACGACCTGAGCCGAAGCAACCGCCCCGCTCCCCGGCGCGCGGCGCCTTCCTCCGCGCCCTGAGCTCCCCTTCGGGGCACAAGTGGCAGTGCCGGCAGTCAGTGCCTCGGCCGGCGGCTGGGGGAGAAATCCGGAGTCCCAATCCAATGGTTCCGTCCGGAGAAGGGGGCTTCTTAGAAGGAGTCTGAGAACCTTTTCTGGTGAGTAGAAGGCCCCTCACGTCTCTCTCTCTCTCTCTCTCTTTCTCCCTCTCTCTCTCCCTATCTCGCTCTCTTTTTCTCTTTCTATCTCTTCTTATTCAAGGGGGGGCTTGCACTTGAAATGCTGCTTTGCGGGGCCAAGAGAGGGACCATGCCGAGCATATGCGTATCTTCAAGACTTGGCGAACCAGAAGGCGCCTGGCGTATCTGGTCTCATGCCACCCGAAGCCAGGCCACCAGCGGGGATCCAAGAGCCGATTCAAGGAACCCAAGGAAGCCAGGACACGTCTTGCCACGGATAGAGACATAAGTGCGAAGCCTCCCCCTTCAGCGTGTCCGCGGAATGGACACACTTAGCTTTAAACAACGCAGCCGCGTCATGAAACCGAAAACTGAATGCCCACAGCTCCGAGCCAGGGTATTGGATGTTTCTCCTTGAGAATGAAAGCCTCAAAAACTTGCCGGTGCTCGGTGGGGAATGGCCTTCCGCGTGTCGGCAAAGAACCGTTTGGTTTTTGTTTTTTTCCGCAAAGCAAACACCACAGAAAGCAGCTGTTTTCCGGCTCAGGGGGCCATTCCAAACTCATTCCAACTGCCTGTCAAACCACCAAAGAAAAAAAACGTGGCACTTCCGCACGGCCTCAAGGCCTCGTCCAAGACCCGTGGGACCGAGCCCCGTGGGCGCCCGGGCCGTTCTGGCAGCCCCCAGGCTTCCAGAGCCAGGCGCAAGGTCGGCAAAGCCCGGAGCCGTGCGCCGCCTGCAGCCCCGCAGCCGAATCGGAGCAGCCGAATATCGGCGAGGCGAAGCGGCTGAGACATGTGGCTGTGGTGGTCAAAAATCGGGAAACCCCAACATGGCGCAAGCCCTGGGAAATGGAAACAAGGACTACAACCTGTAGTTTTTCTGGTGGTTTAATTTTGACCCATACATAATATGTCATGCGACCCAAAAACCCAAAAAAAACACTCCCCACTCCAAACCCGTCGTCAATCCGAATCGGCTAAAAACATGGCGTACGACCAAAACACCCCACTCCCCACTCCCGACTCCCGACTCCCCACTCCCCACTCCCCACTCCCCACTCCCCACTCCCCACTCCCCACTCCCCACTCCCCACTCCCCACTCCCCACTCCCCACTCCCCACTCCCCACTCCCCACTCCCCACTCCCCACTCCCCACCCCACTCCAAACCCGTGGGGATGAACAAAGGTTCAAGGAACTGCCAACTCCCAACTCATATTTACACACTGGTTTCAAGAAGGGGGCGCACCCAGGAGCACATGCGTCATTGAAGTCTCGGGCGCAACGACCCGAGAGGCCAGCGAGCGCTGGCCCCTAAAAGGAAAATACAAGGACCCAGTGCCAACACCCATGTTGGGAACCCTGGTAAATCAAACCTGTGGCTCCCTAGTCGTTTAATTTTGACCCATTCCCACTTGTGTTTTGGTCATTGCCAGGGGTTCTGAGGTTCCTTCCTGAAGAAGGTGATGGTTCGATATCATCAAGTTCCATTGATGTTGAGGGTTTTAGCGTGGTTTCACGTTGCAGAAGACATGCATTCCAAGTTTCATACCCTGTTCCAGGACCTATGTTCCATATTTATGTTGGTGGCATCCTATTCCTTTTTGCAGCCACCAAAGCACCTTCTTGATTGCCCCGTAGCGCGCTATGTCGAGTTAAATCCTATTTCAAAGCGTTGATGACTAGTAGCCAAAGCCTTCAGCCCAAAGTCTGATCCGACTTTTTGGCGCCGATGATCGAGAACCGTTGCTTCGGTCGCAGAGCTGCGTCTGCAACGCTTCGATTGTGACTCTTGAACTTTTGGCTTTCGTGGTTTGCCTGTCAAGCTGGGAACCCTGAGTCGGAAACGCCAAGACGTTTCCCCTGCTTCGCCAGTTCGAAACCGCCAGACGTTTGTAAACTTGTCTTGTGGGCTGTGCTGCAAAACTTGCAACGTGAAGGCATCGCCCCTGATCGGCGGATTTATCGAAATTCAGTGGGGCTTGCCATCAAGGCCTCAGGGTTTCCACATTCCTTTGCCCGCCGTCCCAACGGGTCTGTTGGGTCTGCGGCAACGAATCCACCCCCCAGAAGCCTAAACCCACCCCCAATCCCCCTCCCCCCCAACCCCCCTCCCACCCCCAACCCCCCCACCCCCAACCCCCCCACCCCTCCCCCCCAGCCCCCCCCACCCCCCTGCCCCCGCCCCTTACTTCAACCCCCCAGCTGACACTAGCCCCATCCACCAAGAAGCTGAGCCCACAGAAGGCACCGAGGGAGCTGCGGCCTCGAGACCGAAGCGGCGAAGCGGCGAGGGAGCTCCGACCCAACCTGCGAATCTCATGCCGAAAGGTCGAAACGGGAATTGAAGTGAGACGCAAACCGAGACGTAGCTTCACCCAAGACGCCTCCCGGAACTGAAAAAGGCGGGAAGTTTCTTGTGGGGTGAAAAAAGTCTTGACGCGCCGCTTGAATCTGTCTAAACCAACGTGTCAAAGTCTTCCAACTTCTGAGTCATGTGAAGGGCATACAAGCAAAACCAACCTGCGCAGCAACCGCCGAACAACCAATCAACAACTCAATCAACAATCCCGCCAACATCAACTCATCAACCTAGTCGACCCATCACACCCACCAACCCACCAACCCAACAACCCGCACGAGGGGAGGCAACCAGCCAGCGCCAACCTCCAACCAGTGAGAGACCACAAAGGACCGGAGCTTCAAAAAGAAAAAGGCACAATAGCTGATTCATCGCGATGTTTCCCCATCTCAGCAGGGAGCATGTCTCAGGGGCACCAAAGTTGATTCCTGTTCAAGCACTTCCCGCGGCCTTCAAGCGACTCGGAAAAACGAGCTCAGACATCGCGACACGAAATTCTGGCCATCGGCTCAGGCGTCACAGAAACATATATATATATATATAATCGCTGTTTCCCTTACAAAGAATCTATCACGGCCATGGGTTAAGCTGTTCGAAGAATCTCACTTCCACGTGATCATCGTCATGAAAATTTGAGGTGAGGCATTAGGCGCAATGCTGCTCAAGTATTGGTATCTGTTTTCCGCGCTCTCTCCATCTGTCTGATTAGTCCGCCAAATGAAGTGGAAGGCCAAGGCCAAGCTTATTCATGGATTAGCTTCAGATTCGAGTGGTGGTGTCTATTCGCTTCAAACTTGCATGGGCGTAGACAAACCCTTCCCCGAAACCTTCCGCCAAGCTTCCGCGGTGTGAAGGGTAACTAAACGCGAGCATGTGTCTGTGTAAGTTTCTATAACTGCTTCCGCGGGCCTTCCGCAGGCAAGTTGCTTCTGGAAACTGAGGAAGGTAGCTTCCGCAGGGGGATTCGTGTCCACGGTTTGCCAGTAGCCGCGCTTGGCAACAACCACCCAAACGAAGTCAAACTACTATGCAAATCAACATCATTCCTTCCGCGAGCTTCCACGGGACAAAAGTCTTCCGCGAACCTTCCGCGAACCTTCTGCAGCTGCAGTGCCGTGCTACCTTTTTTTCGTTGGTATGTCAACATCTATACATGTCTGCTTGAGCGGACAAAACGCCGCCACTCAGATGGTAAACAAACCAATTCAAAGCTCATGTTCCATGATGCAACGGCCATGGGCGAAATTGCAACACGAAAACAAAAATGTGTGCACAGCCCGCTGTTCTCACCTCACTTTCGACAGCATCTCGGGCTCGGACAACTCTCCGATGCCGTTAGCCTGCACCGGCATGATTCCCTCGAACTTGGTCTGGATGGCATCCCGGGAAGATGCATAGAGCATTCTTTCCCTCAGCCCAGCCTTATCGTCAGGGCTCCAGAACACGGACACGAGCTATGTCTGGGGTAAGCCCTCATCTGTCGTGAAGTCAAAGTCAACCAGTGCGTATCTGGGACTGGCCTCTGGCAAGGCCTTCAGGAAGTCTGCATAAGTCTTCGAGGTGTCCCCAGTCTCATCCACAACAATGGTATTGTTGTCATCTGAGATCTTGAACGTCGCATATCGCAGGGCCTTCCTCATCTTGATCTGCATCATAGTGTTGACGCACTCATCGGCAACGGCCACACCAGAAGAAGACATGGCCAGCTACTCTGCACGCACTTGAGGAGCGGAATCAACCAAGCTTGAGCCAAGTGTGTTTAGAAAGGGCATGCCACCATGTTGGCCATGGCAGATTCAGGTGCAAGAAGAACTACAGCTCCAGCGCACCTTGTCTGTTAGAATCAGAAATACACATCAGCCCCCAACGTGCACGCCATCCGGTTGGCGGTAGGTCATACAGTGGCACCTTCGCCTCAACCCCTGCGAATCTTGCGTTCGGGTTCAACGTCTTTTACTTTACTTGCATCGGATGGCAAATCAAGAGTCACAGCTTGAGATACAGCAGGACAACATATCATGGCAGCTCGATTTGTGGAGAATCGCACACAACGCGCTCTTCGGCTTTGAGCTTGATCACCTAAAACTCACCGTGACGCCTGTCCAAGATTTGGTACTGAAGTGGAAAAAGCATCAAACTCGGGTCATCATAAGCATCAAACTTCAATAAGCCAGGCTTCGGAACACATGTGCAGCGCGTCTGATATGCAGCCACTACCGGGTACATCCGCATCTTTTGACTGCCAGACTCTTACACCAATCCTTGACCAAGGGGCCAAAGACTCCTAAAAAGAGCAGAAATCGGTCCCAGGAATCCTGAAAGCGTCCTCGGAGGGAGAAGTGTCTCCAAGCGTGCGGAAGAAGAAAAAAGAAAAAAAAATCGAGGCGACCCTTTCAGGTGACTTCCGTGGAAACCGAATGGCTTCCTGCTTGGAAACCACAAGGAAAAGCTTGCCTGAACTCTCTGAGGGTCCCCGCCAGTCCCGGGGGCGGCTTGATGGCCAAGCCGTCTGAAGGAACGGAGTTTGAAACGAAGCGGAGCGCTGATCCGGATGTGGGTCACAAATGGGTTCTCCAAATGGGTTGCTGTGGTAAGGGGAGCCATGGCAAGTGGAACCATGGTTGGTTGGTTAGTTGGTGGGTGGGTGGGTGGGTGGGTCGGTCGGTCGGTCGGTCGGTTGGTTCGTTCGTTCGTTGGTTCGTTGGTTCGTTGGTTCGTTCGTTCGTTGGTTCGTTGGTTCGTCGGTTCGTTCGTCCGTTCGTTGGTTCGTTGGTTGGTTGGTTGGTTGGTTCGTTGGTTGGTTGGTTGGTTCGTTCGTTCGTTCGTTCGTTGGTTCGTTCATTGGTTCGTTCATTCGTTGGTTCGTTGGTTCATGGGTTCGTTGGTTCGTTGGTTCGTGGGTTTGTTGGTTCGTTGGTTGGTTGGTTGGTTGGTTGGTTGGTTGGTTGGTTGGTTGGTTGGTTGGTTGGTTGGTTGGTTGGTTGGTTGCTTGCTTGCTTGCTTGCTTGCTTGCTTGCTTGCTTTGCTTGGTTGCTTGGTTGCTTGGTTGCTTGGTTGCTTGGTTCGTTGGTTCGTTGGTTCGTTGGTTCGTTGGTTCGTTGGTTCGTTGGTTCGTTGGTTCGTTGGTTCGTTGGTTCGTTGGTTCGTTGGTTCGTTGGTTCGTTGGTTCGTTGGTTCGTTGGTTCGTTGGTTCGTTGGTTCGTTCGTTCGTTGGTTCGTTGGTTCGTCGGTTCGTTCGTTGGTTCGTTGGTTCGTTGGTTGGTTGGTTCGTTCGTTCGTTCGTTCGTTGGTTCGTTCGTTGGTTCGTTGGTTCGTTGGTTCGTTGGTTCATGGGTTCGTTGGTTCGTTGGTTCGTGGGTTTGTTGGTTCGTTGGTTGGTTGGTTGGTTGGTTGGTTGGTTGGTTGGCCTTAGGGTACAGTAGTGGAACCAGGGA